TTTTTGCTTTTCCCATTGTTCCCTTAGAGTGGGTTTTGGGAAAATGGTCTCAGCCCTTTCTTGGTTTTACTCACTTAAAATGCTTCTCAAATACTTGATTTATTCATACTTGGTCACAAGTAGCTTTGATTGTAAAACATTACCTTTGACCTCATTCATGCCTATGGAAAACATCCAAGGATTTGGAGCAGAACTGCTCCTGATCCATATTGAAGAGCCTTATTCAGCTAATGGCATAATAGCTTCTAGTCACTTCAGACTCAGGACTCTATGTAGACATGTAATCTGGGTAATTTCAGTCCTGCTACAATGCTTTATCGTGCAGTTTTTATACCATGTAGGACCTTCCAGGACCTGCCCTTTTCACAGATAATCTGTCCTTCTTGGGCACTGCTACCAGGCATTTTCATAGTGTGAGCTTCCTTTTACAATTTTTATGTTTTATATATGTGTGTATGTATGTGTGTGTGTGTATATATATATATATATATATATATTTTTTTTTTTTTTTTTTTTTTTTGCCACAGGGTTTCTCTATGTAGTCCTGGCTATCCCGAAACTTGCTATATAGATCAGGCTGGCTTCAAACTCATAGAGATCTGCCTGCCTCTGCCTCTGGAGTGCTGAGATCAGAGGTATGCACCACCATGCCCTGCTCCCTGCTTGAGTTTGTGTTGCTTCATGTTTTATAATGTAGAGCTTGTTTGTCATTCATTACATGTTCTGTTTTAGTTTAAAAGTTTATATTTGTGTTTTTATGTGTATTCATGTTTTGCTTTCATGTATACCGGGTGTGCTACATGTGTGCCTAGTGGTCATGGAGGTCAGAAGAGGACATGGGGCGAGAGAGTTGTTGAGAGCACTTATTATTGCTGAAGACCCAGATTTGATTCCCAGCATCTACATGGTTGTTCACATCTGTTCCTAACTCCAGTTCCAGGATGCACACGATACATATGTTTGCACAGAAGCAAAACATTCATGCATGTAAAAATAAATCTAAATTTAAAAAAAAAAAAAAGAAGAAGAAGAAGGGGGGGGCTTCAGATCCCCGGAACTGGAGTTATCAATGGTTGTGAGCTGTTGGGTGCTAGGAATTGAACCTGGGTCCTCTGCAAAAACAAGTTTTTGTGACTGCAAAGCTATCTCTCTAGACCTCATATTTTTTCTGTTTTGAAACCTCATTGGCTTGAAGAAGGACGTGTTTGCCTTGTGGGCCTTAGTCCCAGCACGCGTGCAGAGCATGCCAGTGGTGGGTGCTGAAGCGCCATAATGTGGATGTGTGAACTGCAGAACAAAAGGCTTACAGCATCAGAGGTGTCACAGTCAAATGATCTGACCTGAGGGTGCACTTCTGGACCTGGACTCTGGGCATCTTCAAGGTGTGTGCCACCACACCTCATTGTTATCACGAGAAATATTATTGCATATTATCCAAGTTTGTTGAGGGGACACTCTGCCGTGACCCTTCTCAGGAAGGCACTATATTTAGGTTTCCTGTCACCTTTCCAGTTATGACTGACACTTCTAGCTCACTTTTTGTTGGAACATTGGAATTTTTGTATTTCCAGTTTATTTTAGTAACTCAGGGATGTGGACTTTGGGTTTTATTGATGATGCTCTGCTTTAGGTTGTAAGATTGTATTCCTTATGTGTAAGATCTGGGGCTCTGGTTGTGTAGTCAGGGCATTCTAGAAATATGGGAACTGACTCAGCTTTTTATCAACTTAGTGGCCTAAGCTAATGTATTGCCATTAAATAAGGATCTGGATAAACAATTTAAATGTGAACTAATTTTATCAGGTTTTTTTTCTTTTCTTTTTTTTTTTTTTCTCAGACAGAGTTTTTCTGTGTTGCTCTGGCTGTCCTGAAACTAGCTCCATAGACTAGGCTGGCCTCAAACTCACAGAGATCTCCTGCCTCTGCTGCCCCTCTAGGAGTGCTGGGACTAAAGGCATGCACCACCAACTCCTGGCTTTTTTCAGAGTATTTATTTGGTTTTTTTTTTTTTTTTTGAGACAAGATTTCTCTCTATAGCCATGACTGTCCTGGTACTAGCTCTGTAGACTAACTAGCCTTGAACTGAGAAATCTACCTGTCTCTGCCTCCCAATGGCTGGGATTAAAGGTATGCACCATAGCACCCAGCTAGAATTATTTCTTTTGTATGTCTGCCTTTGTGAATTCTTTGTAAGTGACAGTAGTGGTCTAGGACTGTATTGCCTCCCACCAGCTCTCTTTTAGCCAGATCTCTTTGCTGCTTCTTCAAACAGTTCTTGGAGATAGACCTGCAAAGGACTCTGCATAGACTTATCAACCAAGTAGTCTGTTGGCTTGTGTGTGTGTGTGTGTTTCTGACAGGGTTTCTGGAACTGAAGTTTGGGTTGCAGGTATAGCTAGTTTTACTTAGTTGTGGACTCATTACCCACTGTAGATGGTGGCTGAGCAGCCTTGTGTCTAGCTGCAATGAGAAATCTCTTTCTTAATTCATGTCAGAGCATTTCTGTTTGTTTGAAGTCCACCAGTCATTTGTTTACTTTGTACCTGCTGCACACTACTCCGTGGTACTTTCAGGTGATAGCAGTGCACTAATCTGATTGGTCCTTCCCTGTTTCTGACTCTAAGCAGTGACTCAAACAGACCTCTGAGCTGTCTGCTTTCTCCCTTTTCACTCCTCAACCCTCCTCCTCCTCTTTATCATCACCATCACCTTCCCCCCCCCCCCAAGACATGCTGGACTTTAACTCACAGAGATTGCATTAAAGATGTGTGCCTCCACACCCAGTCCTGTCATCATCATTTGTTTAGGGTCTCAGTATATATTATAGTCAGGTACAGCCTCAAGGTTTTGATCCTCCTGCCTTAACTTCAAGTGGTGGCAGTGGGTTCTTATCACTGCTTTTGTCTCCTTGGCTTTCTTATTTGGAATAGTTGAAAGGTGATGCCTGCATGTTTTGTTTTTCTCTTATACATGAAATAGAATATTGTTTGATGTAAGGGTCATTTGTCTCTCAATGTTATGTTTGTGTCATTGTCCCTTCGTTGGTGGTATAAGTCACATTACTTTGTGGTAGCTCTTCTTAGCATCTGCAGCTGCTGCAGCTGGATGAGTCTATAGTAGGCAGGTGTCCTCTGCATATCAGGGTGTTGAGCAGCATTCTTACCCAGTCGTGACAATCAAAGATATTTTAAATAATTTCAAATGTCCTGAGTTACAATTAAATGAACAACAACAAAAGCAGGAGAATTGTGTATGGTGGCCTAACCTAAAGGCTACCCAAATGTATATACTGAATTACATGTCTGCTTGGGCTACATAATGAAACCTATCTCTAAACAACAGCAAAAATACAGAAAAGCTGATAGGTGGTAGCCCAGCACTCAGAAGGCAGAGGCAGCTGGATCTCTGTGAGTTTGAGGCCAGCCTGGTCAAAAGTTAGTTCCAGGACAAGCTCCAAAACAATACAGAGAAACCCTGTCTCGAAACCACCCCCCCCCAAAAAAAAATATACAGAAAAACTTTACAAGGTGATGTTTTCTAAATATCACAGCTATTGAGCTGGGCATGGTACACAAACCTATAATCGCAGCACTAGGGAATCAGAGGCTGTTGGATTTCTTTTAAAAAATAAATAAATAACTCAGGGCTGGAGAGATGATGGCTCAGAGGTAAGAGCAACTGCTCTTCCAGAGGTCCTTAGTTCAATTCCCATCAACCACATGGTGGCTCACAACCATCTATAATGAGATAATGTGCCCTCTTCTGGCATGCAGGCATATATGCAGGCAGAAAACTATAATAAATAAATCTTTAAAAAAACAAATAAAGATATATGCTTTTTTCGTCTCTTGCTGCAGATGTAGTAGTTTGCCAGGCAATTCGGATCACGTGGGTCTAATTAGGTTATCCTGTAGCTCTTCCGCATTTTCTCTGGTTTATCAAAATCTGCAGCCTGCTGGATTCCAGGAACGTCCCTGCCAGTGTTGTGGCTGTTTGTCCATGCAGGGCTCCTCTGTGTACTCAAGTCTGGACTGCTAGGAAGTTGGTCCAGTGACTACAGTGTTGTGATTTCAGTCAGTCAGGATTTAGAGTTCATGGTAATTTTACTAAACAGCTATAGTTTTCACATTTAGCTTTGTAATACTTATTCTCTTCTGATTGGATTTATGTAGCTTGTTACAGAATATTTTAAAAAGTGATTTTAACATTTGGTTAAGATTTTAAAATGTAGGTTAGGTGTGGTGATGTAGGACTTTAATCTCAGCACTCTGGAGGCAGAAGCAGGCTCTTGAGTTGAAGGACAGCCTGATTTACATGGAGAGACCAAGTCTTCAATAATAATGGTAAATAAGGAAAAAAGGCTGGAGAGAGTACCTGTTCTGTGAGCCTGAGGACCTGAGTTCATGTAAAAGTCATATTTGTGTGTATGCTTAAGTGGGTAAGCCTAGCGCTGGGGGCAGGGGTGTGTGGGGGAGAGGACAGGTGGAGTTAATTTCAGGTTCAATGAGAGACACCCATTAAGGAGAAGAATGTTGCGGCTTTCACAGAATAAATGTGCAAACACCCAGGACAACCTAGTAACATGTGCACTAAAAAGCAGAAGCCTTTAAATTTCACTTTTTATTGTTTTTATGTTTTAAAATTTTATTTTATGTATATGGTAAAATGCATAGGGTACATGTGGCGGTCAGAGGACAACTTAAGAGAGTTGATATTCTCCTTCCACTATGTTAATTCCAAGGACTGAATTTTAAGTTATCAGGCATACAGCAAGTGTATTTTCCCACTGAGCCATTTCACCTGACAAAAATAGGGTTGATGAGATGGCTCTGTTGGTAAAGGCTCCTGCTGCCAAGCCTGGAGACCTGAGATCAGGTCAGGGTCCATGTGGTGGGAGTATAGAACCAACTGTCACAAATTTTCTTCTGACCTGCATGTGCACACAAACACATATAATGTAATACTTTTTTTTTTTTTTTTTAAAGAAAAGTAGACTGTGTGCTTGCTTTGGTCAAGCATACTAACATTGGAACGATACAGAGAAGATTAACATGGCCCCTGCACAAGGATGACAAGAAAATTTGTGAAGCGTTCCTCATTTAATAAAAAGATCGTTCATTTCTGACTGTGTCCCTTGGTATGAGAACTTTGTGTGTTAATCCACCTGTGATGTTTTTTCTTGTTTGTGTCTTCCAGCAAGCGGGGTTTCAGTGTCCGGTCCTTTGGAACAGGAACTCATGTGAAACTCCCAGGACCAGCACCTGACAAGCCCAATGTTTATGACTTCAAAACCACATATGACCAGATGTACAATGATCTCCTCAGGAAAGACAAAGAACTGTATCCCATGGCTGACCCTAGAGAGGCAGGGTCTTCTGGTGGGTGTGATTTGTGACGGGTCGTCACTCTGACCCCCACCCTGCAGGTTGTGCTTCAGGTGAAACAGGACCAGCAAATGTGCTCAGGCATGTGTGCCCGTGGTGCCCACCTCAGTCTGTTTTTATTTACGAGAAATCAGCTTCTTTTTTTTTTCTTTTTTTCTTTTTTCTTTTTTTTCTTTTTTTTTTTCTGTAAATTTGAGACTGTGTCTCACTATATAACTCTGCCTAGCCTGGAACTCACTCTGTAGACTAGGCTGACCTTGAACTCACAGAGCTCCTCCTAACTCTACCTTCTTAGTACTGGGATTAAAGAAGTGTAGTACCAGCCCAGTGAAGAACTCAGTTTCTTTCCTTTTGCCTACTGGAGAGTCTAGAGTAGTGATTCTCAACCTGTGGGTCATGACTCCTTTGGAGGTCAAAGAGCCCTTTCACAGGTTGCCTAAGACCATCAGAAAACATATTTGCATTATGATTCATGACAGTAGCAAAACTGCACTATGAAGTAGCAGCAAAAGTAATCTTTGGTTGTGCCATCACGACATGAGGAAGGTTGAGAGCCCCTGGTCAACCAGAAGACTGCTGTGTTATTAAGCAGTGAGCGTAGATGAGGTTTGTCTGCACGCTGTCGTGTTAAGGCTGTTTGACGTTTCTGGGCTCTTGCAGGTGTAATAGCTGGGTTAGGGACTCAGCCCTTGTGAGGCCGAGGCAGGGAGACTGCTGCAGGTTTTGAGGCCAGCCTGGACTACGAGGTTTGAGGCTAGCTTGGTTTATAGAACAAACTCTGTCTCGAAATAAAAAGATGCTGTGTTTACCAAACAAAGCATGAAAAAATAAAATTCTGTGAGAACTTTACTTCAGGAAGAGTCAAAACAGTATGAATCTTTTACTATAGACTCATGAGGAAAGAAAAGGGTATTTTAAAATGGGTTTTCCATACCATGTTCTATAGTGGTTAAGCTAACCAGTGTCCCAGGTGTTTGAGTGGGGCATTTTATGATAATCCCCATACTTACTTGAAATTTCCCCATGCTCTTATGTTTAGCATGTGCATGAGGCCCTGAGATTGACCCTAAGCACTTCTGAATAAAAAGGCTAGACATTCTTTAGTTACAGTAGTACTCAGAGTAGAGCCTAAATATTCTAAGGAAGTGAATGCATGCATCAGACAATTTTTTTTCCTTTGTGGTTTGGTGATCAGACCTCAGCCTTGTTCATGCTAGCCTAGACTAGCACTCCTCCATTGAGATATTTCTAGAGCCAAAACTTTTTTTTATTTTTATAAGACATGCGCTCACTGTGTATCCCTAGCTGGCTTTAATAATCTGTATACACCAGTCTGGCCTCAAACCTAGAGCTCTACCTGCCTCTGCCTGTGCCTCTGTCTCTGCCTCTATCTCCTGGGTGTTGGGATTAAAGGTGTGGGCCACTCCACTACATCCTGCCTTTTTCTTTTTTCTTCTTTTCCTCCTCATCTTGCTACTTTTAAATTTTCAATCAGGGCTTCACTAAGTTTCTCAAGCTGGCTTTGAACAAACTCTAGGCCATGAATATGCTGCTCCTCCTGCTCCAACTTCCCCAGAGACTGAGATTACAGAGCTGTGTCACTCCTGAAAGCATTTGCCTCCTTTTTCTTTTATAGTCATACATTTGTGCAACTTTTAATATAAACTAAAATTTAAGCTAGTGTAGAGTCCTAACTACTCGGGAAGCTAAAGCAAAGGATTGTTTGTTCCCAGAGTTCAGGACCAACCTGGGCAATTAGTCTTGAAAGAAAGAAAGCATGCTCTGGGTATGCAAGCCTCACTCAGGAGGCTGAGATGGGATGGTCTTGAGACTTTATCAAAAGAAAGAAGAATATAATAAATTAAAAATATTTTTGTAGGTACAGAGATGAATTAGGTAGCTTGAAGGGTCCCAATGTCTTCTAGTGAAATGTAAATCATTGTGGCCCCTTCGTCTTTGCCACCCCCACCCTGCTTTCCAGTCCTCCCTCAGGTGCAGGGTCAGTGGGATCATTGACTTAGAATCAGGTATTTACTGTTAGCCACACACTTGCTTTGGGAGTGTTTGGGGCTGTGAAGTGCTTAGGGCCTGTACCACAGTGATTCTGGGAGCCCACTCTGATCTTCAAGCACAGCTGGTACTTCACCCTACTCAGAAATCCAGGAACCTGAATTTGGAGGATTGAGTGTTCTCTCCTGAGTGCTGGGTAGGGCAGGCTGTGTTCTTCTCATATCCCTGTCCAAAGAGTGCTCGTGTGTGTGTGTGTGTGTGTGTGTGTGTGTGTGTGTGTGTGTGTGTGTGTGTGTGAGTCAGAATGGCTTGTTCTCTCCTGAGTGCTGGGTAGAGCAGGCTGTGTTCTTCTCATATCCCTGTCCAAAGAGTGCTTGTGTGTGTGTGTGTGTGTGTGTGTGTGTGTGTGTGTGTGTGTGTGTGTGAGTCAGAATGGCTTGTTCTCTCCTGAGTGCTGGGTAGAGCAGGCTGTGTTCTTCTCATATCCCTGTCCAAAGAGTGCTTGTGTGTGTGTGTGTGTGTGTGTGTGTGTGTGTGTGTGTGTGTGTGAGTCAGAATGGCTTCTTCCTGAAACCACTCTGGTGAGCTTGGTGTACTTCTCATTATTGTCACGAGAAGTATTACCATAAACTCTCGAGTCTTGTTTGGGGGCTGGGTGTTTTCCTTAGCCCTAGGGAAAAGTTGAGGTTTTATTTCTTATGATAAATGCCTGTGTATCATTGAGCTTATTCTGAAACCTTAGCTGCTTTTGAATTTTTTTTGTTTCGTTTTGTTTTTAAGATGGGCTATATTATGTAGCCTTGCTTGTCCTGGAACTTACTATGTAGAACAGGCTGGCATCTGTTGTGATTAAAGGCATGCACTCCCATGTTCTCAGGACTATCCTTAGCCAAAAGAATGTCTCTTCCTGGGAATTTACTGTACATTGCATCCAACCAGGTCAAGAAGGACATTGTTGGGCTATAAAGAGGGGAGGATAGAGGTAGGAAGGGTCACTGCATGGGGATATCCTTTTGCTCCAGGGTAGACCATTGCAAGAAGCTGGGAGAGCAGTGGTACCCCTCTTTGAAAGGTAACCACGATGCATTCGGTAGTCAGTAGTTATGTGCCCCTGCATTATCTTGCGTAAAACTGATAGTTTATAGTGGAGAGCTAGAAGAATATTTTAAGATGTAACCCAAAATGAATAAACATTCTGCTTACATTTTCAAGGGGAAAAGGTATTTAATTAGAACTGGGGGCCTCGTGGCCTAGAGACCACCTTGCTATATTTTTACTCTGTGTGGCTCGGGCCTCAGTTTCCCCTTATGTTCCACCTCCTGAAATTCTAGTAAAACAAGCTGAGCACAGTGAGGTGAGCCAGCGCTTGGGCAGTAGGTGTAGACGTTAATTGAGGGTCATACTCAATAGTGAGTTCAAGACTGGCTTGCATTACATCAGACCCTCTGTCAGTAAACGAAACAAATGAGGAAAAAACATCCACACATAGCATAGACCTTGATTTTGTAAATCTCTGACAGATTTTAGGCAGTATCTGTAGTGTCAATACCTTCCTGTGTGATTAGTCATTTTGTAGACCAGTTTGTCTTGAGCTCATAGTCTACTTGCCTCCCAGAATACTGGGATTGAAGACTTGTGCCAGGGGCTAGAGAGATGGATCAGAGGTTAAGAACTCTGATTGTTCTTCCAGAGGGCTGGAGTTCAATTCCCAGCCACCACGTGGTGGCTCACAACTATCTGTAATGAGATCTGGTGCCCTCTTCTGGCCTGCAGACAGACATGCAGGCAGGATACTGTAAATAAATAAATCTTTTAATAAATAAGTAGGTAAGCAAACAACTTGTTACACCACACCCAGCCTTAGACACACTTCTTGATTTAGGTTGTGTTTATAGCTGAGGCCATTGAAGGATAAAATGTAAGTCAAAAGTACATTTACCATGCTGGGTGTTGGCTGCTCCAGGATTTGGGAGGCAGAGGCAGTCAAATCTCTTGAGTTTGAGGCCAGCCTGGTCATTTACCAGGACAGCCAGAGCTACACAGAAAAACCCTATCTCAAAAAACAAAAAGCACATCTACCTAATCTACTACACTTGTTAACTACGACAGTGTCCATTGTTTCCCATTGATAATGTGGAGCTGACTAGAAGTTGAGCTCAGCTGGTTCTAAGAGTATCAAACTGTCTCACCCGTCTAGGAGTAAACCCAAGCTCTGTACAGTGTTTACACTTTCTGCTGAATATATATATATAAAAATATAATCAGTCATTCTCACACCACTGAAAAACTGACTTGTCCCAAGTCAGGGATTATGCATTTAATTTCTTTTTCTTTGGGGAGTTTTTTCAGAGACAGGTTTTCTCTGTGTGTAATCCTGGATATCCTGGAACTCACTTTGTAAACTAGGCTGGTCTCAAACTCCCAGAGTGCTGGGACCAAAGCTACCACTGCCCGACTGTGTCTTTTAATTTCTTAAGTACTTAGTAATAAATAGTTGGATTTTGTTTTTCACAAGCAGAAACAAGCCTGAAGGATTGCGGTTTGCTTCATGCCGTCTCTGTGGCCCCCACTCATGGAAATTGTTGAGGACAAGGGGGCTGAACTGAAACTACACCAACTTTTTGCCTTCACATGTTAGTAAAGCTAGTGTGGGCTGCTTCATGGTTTACCATTTCCCTTTTTGAGAGTTACCTATAGTTAGAAACACGTGCACACTCCCAGATCAGTGATAGGAATTCTAAGTTCACCTGATCTCTAGAGACAAGTATCTTTAAAACCAGATATGGTGGTTATATACCACTACAGAACTTCTCTGTAGCTGAGGCAGGAGGAGCCTGCCAGTGCAGAGTCTGCCTGAGTAGCAGACTATCCCCATCTCAAAAATGAAAAGGCCGTAATTGCTACCTGTCTTCCCAGTACTTGGGAGGCTGAGGTTGAATTTAAGGC